CACAGGATGGATGCAGCCAGGAGAAACAGTCAAATATCTGACCATCCCCTATTTTCACTCTTGTTTCTCCCTTACTCCCAATACTCCATTAAAGTCTAGGTCAGTTTTCTCTCTGCCAAATCCTGCCATTATCCTGTGTAAATGTAACTCTAATGTGGATCATCCATCCAACAACCTATCCTCTAAGTCCCAAGATCTCCTCACCTTTAACAATGTTCTCCTCCACCCAATTCAGAGACTCGCTTCTACAACCACACCCTAGAATTTATTGCCACCCAGAAATCATAAATCCAGATATCTAACTCTCTACCCACAGGTCCTATGCTGCCAACACCCTAACTTGCTGATATTCCTACCCTTGTTCTTTGACACCCCAGTCAGTAGTACCTCTAGTTCTCTGGGTCCTTCACAGTTTTACCACCAGCATTTTTTTTAAAGATACGGTCTCACTATGTTGCCCAAGCTGGCCTGAACTCTTAGGCTCAAGTGACCTTCTCTCCTCAGCCTCCCATGTAATGGAGACTACAGGTGCACCACCACACCCAGCTCTCTTTTTAACTGCATTTATTTTGCAATTCAGTTTAGCAACCAATAGCGTTAATTTCTATGTCTTATTCCTAAAGACAATTGATTTTAACTCCCACCACATCCAGGCTCCTAAGCACAGCTAAAGAAAAAAACCACACACCTTGAAGAATGGTCCCATTAAGTTCAGCAGAGCCCCTGAAACTGCTGCAAAATTCTAGGCATACGCCATAAGGCCTTATATAACAGTAGAGGGCAAAAATAAGAAATATATGAAGAATGTATTTAAACTGTTAAGACTTGGTGGCCTCCTTCACATGATAGAATATTCTATTCTGGGCACACTGATTCCAAGATACTAAGTGGAATGAACTCATGGAGATGCCCACCAAAGAAAGAGCTGAAGATGCAAGTCTAAAGAGGTCTGAATTACAGAAAGACTGATTTATGGCAATCCTTCTCACACTTTTCTATATTTACTAACCAATAATAAAAAAAGGTAATTTATCTTTATGTCTAGATTTCAATTATAAAAGCTCTATTACTTTACCAAATTTGTAAATGTCAAACCCACAAAGAATCTTACAGTACAACATTTGCACGTAGACATTCTAGTTGAATAAACAATTATTCTTTTTTGTGTTCAAGTGGGAAGTTCCATAAATATTGAGGGAAAATGTCCCAGGGTGACTTTCCCCTTCTAGTACAGACCATATGGAGCAATCAAATCTCCAAGAGCTTGTCTCAAGCTTACCTCATTCTGAATTCACACACTTAAATCTGTTGTAAAAACACATGCATTTAAGACTAAAGTACTTACTCGGTAACCTTCAAGATCTCTCATTTGGATCTGCAACAGAGAGAGATCCCTCAAAATCTGTAGATTATCTTTATCTAATTTGAGGGCATTTCGGTAACACTTAATAGCTTCATCATATTTCTTATCAGAACGCTGCAAGAGTCCATATACATGCCAACCTATTAAGTTAAGGAAAAAGAGACATTCACAGACACCAGAACACACTATGCTACATGTCCAACATAAAGCCTACCTTGATGAAATGATATCTTGTCTGGGTTTTGTTTCAGAATGATCAGGGGTCAGAGGGAGGGGGACAGTAAGGGGTAGTTAAAGATGAAACTAGATCAGCTTTGATTGACAATTGTTAAAATTATTACAGATGGATGATGGACACATGGGGGTTCATTATTCTGTTCTCTCTACTTGGGTACCTGTTTGAAATATTCCATAGTATTTTTTAAGGAACCTTAACAAATTCTTGCCGAAAATTTTTCACATTTTCTACCCTCTACTCTCTCACATTCCTACCCTAGCAACTTCAACATTCACCTAGTCTTCACGATGTATTGAAACAATATATACCAAAATTGCAATTATCTTTCAAAACAAGTTTACATTCAACCAATTCTAAAATAACATATAACCATCACTTAATTCACTAGTTACATTAAAGGACACAAAAATTAAATTTTATTTATCGTAAATTAAAGTCTTAATATATCTTGGAGCCAAAAAAAAACACTATCATACTTACATGCCCTCTCTCTTCACTTTGGGGTAAGCACCAGGATAAAGAAATAAGTATTTAGTATTTTGCGAGAACCCTAAGCTAAATATGTGAAAACACTACTAAGACTACTTAAGTTCAACACTAGTAAATGGCTAAGTGAATTAAATGTAACAAATTAAGATACAAGGGTAGTACATGAAGAGATTGTGGATAAACATACAGATAGACAAAACACATCAATGTCAACTTCAATGATCCATCCTTAAAAAGTACTGGTTTTATACAAACTGGAAGACTAGCCAAAGAAAAATACAATTATAAAGATTCAATGAAGTAACAGCTATGTCCCTGTGTTAACAGAAACCAAGCTGAAGAACCAATATAATATCATACTTAATAATAAATAAAACCTGTTTTGAAATAAGTGTCTTTTAAAATTTCTAAAAGAAGGTTTAAGGCACACAGATTTTACTATATAGATAATTAACTAAAAGTTATTATTTGGAATGGGAAAGTATAACTCAGTTCATGAATATTTAAGAGTTTCAAGTCACATATAATTATCAAAGTAACTTTTCCCTAACACTAAGCCCAACTGAAGTAAACACATACACATATTTTATAGAGATTTTCTGTACTCCAATAAATAAACAAACACTGGTAGAGAATAGATGAAACTAATATTACAAAATGTTGATAATTACTGAAGCTGAGTAATGGGTACATACAGTTCATTAAATTCTCTCTTCTATGTAGGTTTGAAATTGTTCATAGTAAAAAGTTTTTAACTTGAATTAGAAAAAAATTAGTAAATGAAAATGTACATGAAATTGAACTATTTAACTACTGGAAAAGGATACAGACATGACTCTTGACATCATTACGAAGTCCTTTACGAACAAATTCATATGCTTCATCTCTTTTTCCTAAACAGTTCAGTGTTAATCCTTTCATAGCCAAAGTCTCTGAAAAATAATTTTAACCTCTATTTACACATGAAAGATTCAAATTACTTGCTCAGCACTACTTTAATATTTGAGATCTGAAGGATTACTACTGTTCCAATGCTTATATTATTCATCTCTTTAATCTCATAATTAGAACTACTCTCCAAGTACAAAAAGTAAAACTACATTCAAGTATTTGCTTAAAGCTTGGCAGCCCAAGTCTTTTTCCAAAATTCCTTAGGCTGAGACTGAGTAGCTAAAATGGTTATTGCCCTTCATAAGACTCTATAAAGGGGGTTAATATTATTCTGCTGAAAAAAAAATTAACAAAACAGGCCGGGCGCGGTGGCTCACGCCTGTAATCCTAGCTCTCTGGGAGGCCGAGGCGGGCGGATTGTTTGAGCTCAGGAGTTCGAAACCAGCCTGAGCAAGAGCAAGACCCCGTCTCTACTAAAAATACAAAGAAATTAATTGGACAACTAAAAATATATAGAAAAAATCAGCCGGGCATGGTGGCGCATGCCTGTAGTCCCAGCTACTCGGGAGGCTGAGGCAGGAAGATCGCTTTAGCCCAGGAGTTTGAGGTTGCTGTGAGCTAGGCTGACGCCATGGCACTCACTCTAGCCTGGGCAAAAGAGTGAGACTCTGTCTCAAAAAAAAAAAAAGAACAGTAAATTTCTTTTCAAAGTAACAGAGGAAATGAGGTCTATAAAAATACTAGTTATGTATCTTGTCCAATTTTTCCCCAATAGAGCAACCAACCACTTCTCATCTAAAAGTAAAGACACAGTACATATACCTAAGGATAATAAAAGTAATCTAAAATAAGACTCACATAAAGTACAACTAAAAATGTTGAACATTTATGCACTCTAATAGAGCTGCAAGACCTTGGAATATGAGAAGTATTCTTCTTTCACTGTTAAAAATCCTATCAGTCTGATTTTGAAATTAAGATTTCCCTAAAGCAACCTCTTGCAGATGAGACAATACCTCCATGTTCAGCAAATTTTGGGTTTGAAAGAATCATCTTGCAAAATTTTAGGCCATTTTTGTACTGCTTCTGTTCGTAACATTTCTGTAAAGAAATATGGACAAAAGTTATTTTATAAAATGAATATACAATGGAGCGACTTTTCATTGTATCATACATTCTAAATTCAAGATCCAAAATTTGGTCTAAAACATACACGATGGAAAGGATTCATATCAATTATAACATGAAATATACTTTTGTTACCTACTCTTACCAAATCATTTTTTTTTTTGAGGCAGTCTCACACTGTTGCACTGAGTAAAGTGCCACAGCATCAGCGTAGCTCACAGCAACCTCAAACTCCTGGGCTCAAGCGATCCTACTGCCTCAGCCTCTGAGTAGCTGGGACTACAAGCGTGTGCCACCACGCCTGCCTAATTTTTCTATTTTTTTGGGGGGGGAGCTCCTCCGACCTCAGCCTCCAACAGTGCTAGGATTATAGGCGTGAGCCACCACCCCCCACCCCAAATCATTCTAGAATCTCAGTATTTTCGCTTTTATAGAAGATAAAGAAAAAAGATATTTAACTGTCAACTAATATTGCCACAGAATTTTTTTAATTGCAAAGCAAAAACATGTGATAACAGAAAAAAACTAGAAACTTCATTCACTAAAAGCCTTTGCTATGACAAGAATGAAAATAAGGTCCATGTACACACATATCAAAAAAAACACTGCCACTTATTGAACAACCACTATGTGTTTGTACACAACTTGTTGTATCTTACTTAATTCTTTTAACAATTTCTTAAGATAGGTGTCATTACCTCCACTTCCGCAGATGTAGAAACTGAAACTGTTCAGTTCAAAAAATTTGTTTAGGGTTAGGGTTGGTGGCTCACACCTGTAATCCCAGCACTTTGGGAGACAGAGGTGGGAGGGCTTCCTGAGGCCAGGAGTTTGAGACCAGCCAGAGCAACACAGAGAGACTCCATCTCTATGAAATTTAAAAACTAGGTGCGCATGGTGGTGCACACCTGTAGTCCCAGCTACTCAGGAGGGGGTGGTGGGAGGATCCCATGAGCCCAGGAGTTGGAAGTTGCAGTGAGCTATGATGTTGCGACGGCACTCCAGCCTGGGTGACAGAGTAAGACTCTGTCTCTTAAGGAAAAAAAAAAACAAACTTGTTTATAAGTGGCTCAGCTTAGTTGCAAACCTCTGGTCTGACTCCAAAGACCATCATGATCATTAGCCTGATACAAGCATAAGCAGTATTTTTATTCCTAAATGCCATCAGCCAGGCTAAGCAATGAACACTCTCCTCAGCAGCCACTGCCCTGGGAACACCTCATCTCTCCCCATTCTCCCCTCACTTACGCCGTTCAGTCAGACTGCGTACTCCATTACCTAACATGCCAAGCTTATCCCTCCTCAGGCCTCTACACTTGTGTTCCTTCCACTTTAAAAGCTCTTCCCCAGGCCGGGCACGGTGGCTCACGCCTGTAATCCTAGCACTCTGGGAGGCCGAGGCGGGCGGATTGTTTGAGCTCAGGAGTTCGAAACCAGCCTGAGCAAGAGCGAGACCCCGTCTCTACTAAAAATACAAAGAAATTAATCGGACAACTAAAAATATATAGAAAAAATTAGCCGGGCATGGTGGCGCATGCCTGTAGTCCCAGCTACTCGGGAGGCTGAGGCAGGAGGATCGCTTGAGCCCAGGCGTTTGAGGTTGCTGTGAGCTAGGCTGATGCCATGGCACTCACTCTAGCCCGGGCAAAAGAGTGAGACTCTGTCTCAAAAAAAAAAAAAAAAGCTGTTCCCCAGATTTTCCCATGGCTGTATTCCTCATTATCCAAGTCTCTATCAAATACTGCCAGCCTCCTACCTCTTCCCCCCACACACATATTCTCTATCATATTACTCTTATTTTATTTTCTACAGCACTTCCCTGAAATCTGATTTATTCGATTACTTAGTGTCTGTCTTCCCCCCCACCATGTAAGCTCCATGAGAACAGGGATCTCGTCTATTTTATTATTTATTTATTAATTTATTTATTTTTTAGAGTAGGGTCTCACTCTGCTACCCAGGCTGGAGTGCAGAGGTGCAATCACAACTCACTGCAGCCTTGAACTCCTGGGCTCAGGCCATCCTCCCACATAGGCATCCTGCCAAGGAGCTGGGACCACAGGCGTGTGCCACCACACCAGGCTAATGTTTTCCATTTTTTATTTTTATTTTTTTCCAGACATGGTTTCTCTGTGTTGCCCAGGCTGCTCTTGAACTCCTGGCCTCAAGTGATCCTCCTGCCTCAGGCTCCAGAACAACTGGGACTACAGGCATGAGCTACCATGCCTGGCTCCCACCTATTTTAAACACTGCTGCATCCCCACAGCCTACGCAAACAAGAGCTGCTCCATAAATGTACCCTACTAAGTTCAAAGCAAAATGGCACCAGCAATGGGTGAGAACAAGATCAAGCCTTGCAACAGGGGCTGGATGTGGAGGGCAGAATTAGAAAAGTCTTCACACAAACACAAAAAATGTTTAAATTGAGGCTTCTTGATTGTCTCTGGAGAGGGGAACTAGGTGGCTGTAAGACAAGGATAAGAGACAAACCTATATTTTGAACCATGTACATTGCCTCTTCCAAAAATATTTTAAAATATAAAAATAACAATCTGAGTTGACTACAGACAAGAGTTGACCTGACAAATGACAAAGAAAAAACAAGCAGAAGGAACTACTGAAGAAGAGCAAGAGAAAAATACAGTTGATCCTTGAACAGCACAGGTTTGAACTGCATGGGTCCACTCATAGCAGATGTTTTTCAACCAAACAAGGTCAAAAATATAGTATTTGCAGGATGCAAAACCAGTGTATACAGAGGGCCCACTTTGGGAATTAAGTATGGGCAGATTTGAGTATGGGGGGTGGTACTGGAACCTATCCCCCTGCTTCTACCAAGGGATGACTTATTTTTTTTTTCTGACTTACCAAGTAGTTTAAAAGTAATAATAACCAAACTGCTAATAGCAGTAATAATAATAATGATAATAATAGTTAACATCTATCGGAAGCATTTACTATGTCTCAGGAACTGCTGTCACTTAGTGTTTATTTAAATCCCAGGAAAGCCTATGAAATGCATGTTACCTCCATTTTAGATGAAGAAACTGAGGCACAGTTACTGAGTTTACAAAGCTAGTAAGTGTCAGAGCCACAATTCTTACCCAGGTAGTCTGGCTCCAGAGTCCAAGTACTCAGGTAAAGATAAGCCTAAGGTTCAGTAAGGAACCATTATAGAAAAGATAGATTCTAGTCTCAACTTTGCTACTAACCAGACAGAGAACCTTAGACACTTAGTCATTTACCATTACTGGGTTTGATTTGTGTCTCTGTGAAAGAGGGCATGGAATAGCTCCAAAGTTCAACAAACTGTAAGGCTACTAGCCAGTCTGAGGAATAAGACAGGCAGATATAAACCACGCACAATATGTTAAATAAAAAAGAAAAAAAAAAAAACTAGCTAGTGACTTTGTGTGGATGTGTTTAAGTACTTTGATAATGAATAGAAAAAAAAACTTACTGTTGGTGGCAAAGCACTCTGATCCACCAACCAAACTTAAAAAACAGTTTTATTATAGACTTCTGTTTGCCATGGAATTTGCTGTAGCAAAACCTTACCCACATATATTGCAAATGTGAGAGGATAAAATCATTCATTTTTGCAGCACCTTCCTAAACTCATGCAACCTTTAAAATAAACTTTACATACCCAGATAAGAAAATGTTTAGCATTTTCCAATTTATCTGAGCACAAAGTTAACTCAGCAGCAGCTTTAACTCTTTTGTAGTTTGAGAATAATAAATCATATAACTATTTTTCTTTATGCTACTGATACATGATTTGAACTAGAAAATAGCCATAGAGAAAAGAAGTGCTGTCATCATTTGCTCAACACTAAGCACTGTATAAAATGAAGATTTAAAATTTTCATCCCGTCTACTGTGTATCTTTCTTAACATTCTAAAACTAAGTGTGAACTTACTATTGGCTCAAAACAGGACAGCTACTATGAATTTTATCTGCCGCTGATGTAATAATACTTAAAACTATTCTAAAATTAGCGTTTTATTTATAGTAAACTTAAGCAACAGCTAATAGCGATATAGCCAACCCAAGCTCTCAATAAATTCACCCTTAAAATCTAAACGTTTGTTTAGCAAATAAATTCTTGTTTTCAGATGAAAAGAGAAGCCTAGAAAAGACAGCTATCTATTAACAATATTAATTTAACAACTATGGTCTCGAGTGTATACTGAGAAAAGCAAAGGCAGCTGCCTCGTCTTCCCGGAAAACCGTAGTCTCCAGGGGCCCTGGCACGGACTCCAGAAAACTGCCCTCTCGCTAGGCAGCGGTCATCATTACCGGGCCGCGATTCAGTTTTCTGTTCGGAAATAAAGCAAATGCTCCTCTCCAGTGCAAAACCAGCCAGTCCGCGCGGCTTTGATCACTCAAGGCAAGGCCTGTGCGAGTTAAAAGCAAAGAGCTGTGTTGGAGTTTGTGACAACTTGGAAACACAGCTCAAGTCACCTATTCATCTGTTCACTTCCAAAGAGGGTAAACACGGTACATCACAACCAAGTAAACTCTCTCCCAAAGAGAGACAGTGCCAGGCTTGGCTTCCTAGGGATGCCAGTATAGATCAGGGCCCCATCCCACTATCGGACCGATCCTGCTTTAACGGCATTTAATTAGGGAGTGCTGTGCAATCTACTAAACAGAAAGCAGCGAATGAACACCTCACCGACGGGAGACTGACAGGAGAAACAAACTGAGGAGGACCCGGGCAGGAAGGTTGAGAGCCCGCCTCGCAGAAGGCACTGGAGCCACTACCGGCCGAAGCGGCTTCCCGGGGACTGCAGAGGGCGGCGTGAAGTTTCTGGAAAGAGCACGGCGGGGGTGAGGCGGGCCGCTGCAGAGGAAAGGGAGCGCGCGGAGGAGAGGCCGGAGCCGGCAGGCCGGGGCGGGGAAGTCGGGTCCCCATGGCTCGGAGGTAAACAAAGAGCGGAGAGACGCGGAGGCCGAGCCCAGCCCGCGGAGGCGCCGCCACCTGACCTCTCGCCATCCAGGCCGGGGGCCTTGGGGGCCCCGGGGGATCGGCGGCGCGGCCTACGGCCACTCACCAAGATGCGTTTGAAAAGGTTGCTCTCCTTGGGCGGCAGCTGCGTGTTCGGCATCGCGGCCGGCGGGGAGGCTGGGTGCCCGGACGCTCCGTTTCGCGGGGCTGGGCTCCGGGACGAGCCACTGCTGACAGACGGGCCGTGGGCGATAGGTTAGTTCATTGGCCTGGAGTTGGGGCTGGGCAGCCAGGCTGCTTGGCAAGGTTGGCAATGGAAAAGGAAGGTGGTCTGAACAGCACAGGCTTTCGCTTGGCCCGGCTTTTTGGCCGGCGGCGGCGGCGGCGATTCCCGCGCGCTGCAAGATGGCAGCCGGGGCTCGCCTACCCCAACCCCTGCGCCGGGCGCTGTGCGCATGCGCGGGCATAGGGCCGCGGGGGTTCGGGCTCCGGGGGTGTGGCGGGGGCCGCCTGGGGTTTTGTGCTCCGCCTCTGCTGCGGTCGCCAGAAGCTGGGCGCCGCGCGGGTCTCTTGAGCCCCAGCACTCCACATAAGACGCTGGCTTGCATTGCGCTCTGCTTGGTAAGCTTGTGGCCCAAAATAATGTTAGTTATTTCAGGTCTGATTTTTTTGTATTTCTCCCTCAGAACTTAAAGAGTGTTTGACACAAAGTAGATTCATGATATAGGACGGACTTGTTTTTCTCTGTTCTCCCTCGATTTAGACTCGAAGAGAAGCCTTCTCTTTTCAGTGCAGACCAAAAAGTATTCGCAACCTATGTGAGGCCATCGGGCAGGCCTTGAAATGGCTGACGTGAAAGCATGTTTGAAGGAAAGGTCGGAAACATACTTCCAGAGTTTCGAACATTCACCATTCTCAGTGGGAATGATGGTGGTTTTATGGGGACACCGAGCCTCCAAGTCTACCTGCTCTTTCTCCCGAGATGGTGCCTCTTCATACAAGCCATATAATAATGAGAGAAACTGGATTCAAACCCAGGATCTTCCAACTCTGGGACATTTTCTACAACAAATAAAAAGCAGCATAGTGATAGTAATGTGTGAGTCTGGAAAAAGATGGATATACATCGGTGACGAAAATAAACAGATATACAAGGTAGGGTTAGTATTAAGGTGTATGTAAACATTAGGTACGTAGACTTATACGTGTTCTGGATCTTAATTTGTGTATATTTTTGAAACTGGCGTAATTGGTGTGTAATTGCATTTAATGGGCTGTAATCTGAGCTGGACTGGTATTTATCTGATTTTTCTTCTTTCTAGCCTGAATTGGTTAGAGATGGGAGAAAGTACCGTAGGAGTCTTTTACAATAGGGAAGGTACTGTTATCAAAAATGGGGATCGGGAGGGCCTGTGTGTTCTCTTTAGAAACTAGCCTTCTCAAGCTGTTGGGACATAGGCAAGGAGGGCTGCATTGGGAGCCTGGCTGAGTTGCAGCTGAACTAGTGGCAGTCCCCTACCCAGACAGCTGAGCAGGCACAGAGAAGGGCATGGTCTCAGCACCCTTGTACTTGACCACTTCCATGACCCCTACCCACTGTTTGCTTGCCATGGCATTACTAATTCCTGAAAATTCTTTGGCTCCCAATTAATCTACATCCTCAGGAGTAAAAAGTTAATCATGGGACAAGCCAAACCTTCAGTGCTTTCGTCAAGCCTTGCCTTGACACTCATGGGACATGGACTTTTCTAGAATGTACCTTGGCCAACTCAAGCCACTCTGTCTCACCTCAAGGCCTATTTCAAAATGACAAATTTTTAAAAGAAAGTAAAAGAGAAGGGGAAAAGAGCATAGTGCCAATTGTAATGTTTTGGAGACAAGGAATGTTGCTCTTATAAAAGTTCCTGTGGGCCTCTTCTAGCTTTACTTACCACAAATCATTAAGTGTCTCCACTGTCTCTGGTAGCTACCAAATCATCACCATCTTTCACCATTGCTCTCCCCAGCCTCACAATCAGGCAGCACATGGTGTTTATTCATTTGCACACTGCAGCCTCCCACCCACTGCCAGCTTCTGTGCTTTCCCATAACACACTGCTCAGCATCTCCTAAATAACCCCAGTAACACAAAGGAAACCTGTAATCCCAAACACTAGGAAGTGGGTGATTATAAACACTCGTATTTAATATTTTCTTCATCTGTCTTTCACACACCATGCATGCATACCTTGGTTGTCTGCTTCGGGTGGGGGTGAGAAGAGAGGTTGAGAATTGAAAAGAACACCAATAACACCAATTCTGCTCTTTGCAGTTGTCACCCGGAACCTTAGAGTAGTGTATAAAATATGTAACATATGCACAATCAGTAGCTATAATTTTATTACTGACTTCCTGTTTAGTCTGGAGCAAATCTTATTTCCACCTTTCAACAGAAAATAAGGTTAGAATAACATTATTGTAATCTGTTTCACAGCAGGGTTATGTGAATTTAATGCTTAGTCATTTCAAAGCCCGTGATAAAAAACAAATGTAAATCTGAACTCGCTGTTTCTCAGGAAGAATGCCGAAGCCCCTTTGGGGGCATCATGTTCATCTACCCAGATGTTCCTTTCTGGTGCTTCAGGACAGGGTATAACTCTGTTAGAATCATGGACAAAATAAAATAACAGTGACAGCCTCTGTAAAGACCCTCACACCTCCCAAAGCACTTTTTATGTACGTGACATGGGCCAGTGATTCTCCTTGCTAAGCCTAGTAGAGCCAAGGAGAAAAGACTCTGGAAAAGGATTTTCTCCATCCCATATACACAGCATATCTTCCAGAGCCAGCTGGCAGGGTAAAATCAAATAGTTTGCTGCAATTCCCACAGCCAATTTAACCATGTAATTAAAGGTTGATGGGAAAAGAACTTACCAGATTGCATAATGTATTCCACTCAGACTCCCTGATGTTTCTGCTCTCTTCTGCCTTCCTTGCTATTGTTTCTGAGGAATGGCACTATCATGTTTTCCCTTTTAGGTCTTCATCCCATCCCGTTTTGTTCTTCTTGAACTTTTATTCTTCAGTTATTCCCTTCACAATTTGCATTTTTCTCCCTCCTTATACAGTTTATATTCTAGTAAGAGGAGACCAACAATAAACACAAACAAATAAATAGGATAATCCCAGACTGTGCAAGGTCATATGAGGGCAAAGGGAGCTGAGGAAAGGCCTATTTTTTAAAATTATTATTATTTTTTATATATACTTTGAGACGAGGTCTCACTATGTTGCCCAGGCTAGATTCGAACTTCTGGGCTCAAGCTATACTCAGATCTCAGCCTCCTGGGTAGCTGGGGCTACAGGCATGGGCCACCACCCCTGGCTGGAAGGACTACTTTAAACCAAGTATGCAGGAATGGGAACCCTCTGGGGAGGTGGCGACAAGCAAACAGAAACCTGAGGATGAGAAGGGAGCTGATGTGAAAAACTGGGACAGCGTCTTCTAGGCACAGGGAACCACAGGCAACTGCCTAATGCAAGAACAAGATTGGTTTGGTCAAGGAATAAAAGGGACAAGTGAGAACTTGTCTCTGTTCTTAGGTTCAAGGAGGTGGCTGAAGTGTAGTGCCTGAAAGGGAAAGTGATATGCAGTTCATTTGAAAAGATGGGCCAGGTTGAACATAAATTTGTAAGGGTTGATAGCATTATGAATATTTTATGGGAATGGATATTATGTCTAGCTGGGGAAGACTTTCTCTACCTTATATTGTAAAACCCAAACCTGTTGCTATAGTCCTAATGGGGCTACAGTTAGGAAAGTAAGGGTCGATAGAATTAAGGTAAAAGTTTATAGGAGAGTTGGTATATTTGAACTGCTTCCTGTGAAGTATTTGCATCTCCTTTACCTGATTGTATTATCGGAATGGACATTGTACCTGACTGGGGAATGTTTCCCCTACCTGGTATTATAAACCAGAAGGCACGTAAATCTGCCCTTCAAGCAACATTAATTGGACGTGTTAAAGGGGAATCAGTAAGATTGCCCAGTTCCACACAGAGTGTTGAGTAGAAGAAGGGTGCTGGTATGCACAAATTCTCTGTTTGATAGCCCTATATGTATTGTAAACTAGAGATTAAGGCAAAAGCCTATGAGTGCCTCCCTGCCATGACTACTGGGACTTTGAGAATTTCCACTTGAGAGGCATTTACTACCATGCTATGGGACATCAGTTGAAGCTAACACTATGATTGAAGGACATAACCTGAAAATACCCATGACGTCTTGGGTGCAGTCAGAGGAACACTCTGATGAGAATGGCAGTGCCCAGGAGGGTTCCATAAAGAAATGGAAATGGTGTGTACAGAATCAGCTACCCGGGGAATACAAGGAAGAGATGAACAGGGAACTTCTTTTCCTCTAAGTTTGAGTCTGGAACTGCGTGAAAAGCTACTAGGTTCTATTGTCACTTGGACAGTACCCTAGAAACAGCTCTCAACTGACCGATAAAGAGCTGCTTGGTTTGTGGATGACAATTCCAAGGAGAAAAGACAATATCCTATTTGGAAGGATGCCAGTTTGGTCAAAGAAGATAAAAATAGATCAGCTCCATGGGCTAAATTGCATGCTGTTTTCCTAGCAGTGATGGAAGAATTGAACAGTGGTAAAAATCCCTTATGTTTGGGTTTTTACTGACTTTTGGGCAATGGCCAATGACCTGGCCACACGGTCAGGAAGGAGGGCAATGGAGACCTGGCCTGTTAAATGGATGGTAATATGGGGCATGGCCCAGTGGAAATTTGAGGGGTACATTAAAGTAGGACATGTTGATGTCCATCAAAAGAGCACCCTTCCAGGTTTGGCAGGTGATTAGAATTGTCAAGCAGATATCCCCATGTGCTCCCTAGAAGCGGACCCCATGTCCACTCTAAGAAATGAGTGGATGCAGAGATGGGCTGAATATAAACTTGTTCCTTTTGTGCCCTCTCAGGTACATAAACGCCAATAAAAACTGGTCAGTCAGCAAGAGAGATGGAGACTGCTGATGGCTGTGGGGCAGATTTCTTGGTGAGAAGGTCCTGAACATAGTTGGCAAGTGAGACTGATGCTGGAGGGTGGGGATCAAATGGGTCTTCACAGTGTGAAAGTAAGTTATTTAAAAATCTAAGCCATTGGGAGTTTATTGTTTGTT